CGCCCGCGATCGGCGCAAGTCACGTAACAGGCGAAATCGACTGACTCAGCCTCGCACAGAAATGGCAACTCTACCCCGGCAACCAGACCTGCGCGCGGCCGCGCAGGGGGGCGAGCAGCACCCGGACCTGTTTTGACAAAATCGAACGCCGCGCACATAGGCGCTCTCCAGCGCGACCACGGTACAAATTTCATGGCGCCGAACCCATCCGAAATAAAGATCGCCACGCCCCCGGGAAGTCGAATTGCCCAATTGGCCCCGCGAAGCTGCCGCTGGGCAAAATATGGCCAGCGCGAGAAACTCGCGAGATAAACCCTTTGATTCGAACTCCGCCAAGCGGGCCCCCTGAACAAAAACGTCATCGAACGCCGTGACTCGGGGCCCTCCCTCGGCCGCCTGCTGCCCCCAGGACTCCCCCAGGTCGGCCGAGCGATGACATTGCGCGCGACCGCCTGCCCCCCCCCCCCCCCCCCCCCCCCGGCAGCCTGACCCACGTTTGCCGGCGCCGCTTCGCCGCCCGGTGGTGGGCCTAGCAGAATGGGGCGCGCCCTCGCTTGCCAGCTGTGACCCCGGGGCTTCTTCGAGCGCCAGGGCCGGGGGGAGGGGCCGGGGCCGCCCCGCAAGCCCCCCCGCCGACTCTTCGCCCGCTGCTTCTGGCTGGATTCAGTCGGCAGGATGGCGCAGTGGTAGAGCGGTTGCTGACGGAGGCGAGACCTATAGGCCGATAGGTTGTCCGATCCAGCCCCTGCGGCCCGACCCAACGGGAGCTCGCGCGCGCGGGCGAGAAGCGCGCCGCCGCAGCGTTCGCCGCCGCGACCGGGCTCGTCTTGCGCTTCAGATCAAATACCCATAGCGACGACGGGGCCCGCTGCCATGGGGTCGCCGAGGGCGCGCGGAGTAACGCTTGAATATTCTGAGCCGCGAGCTAACCAACTCGCGCTCTGAAGCTTTTATGTTCGAGCCAACGTCGAGCGCCGGCGGAGGGGGTGCTCGACGTCGCAGTCAATTGCGTCGAAGGCGAGACCAAACTCGCGCGTGCTCCCGTCGCCGCAGTAGAGCCCGCAGCCGCTGCGCCGCTGCGATGGGCTCGCCCGCGCGGGGCGCCCCCCCTGATCCCGAATCGCCCAATGGGGCACCGCGCCCAGGCCCCAGCTCAGCGCGGGCCCAGGCACGGCGCTGCAAGGGCCCAGAAGCCCCCAGCACCTCTGGGTCGGAGTGCGCGGCCCCCGTCGTCGCTGTCGTCGACGTCGAAGTCGTCGTTGCCATCCCTGCCCCGCGGGGCTGATTGCAGGGCCGCCGCTTTCTTCCCCGCGGCTCGGGCCGGGGGCAAATTCCATGGCTCCTCTTCGTAGCAGACTGCACTTAGAAGCCGCAACCGCCCCCCAGGTGCGCCCCTCTCCCTGGGCCCTGGGGAGGGGGGGGGGGGGGGCTACAGCGCTGCGCCCCCCTTCGCTGGCTGGATGGCTGAAGGCCATCTTCGGGGCCATTTTGGCCCCCAGAGGGGGCGGCACTAATTGAAGCCCCCCTCTTCTTTGATCGATGTCCTCGTCCTCCAATATGGCTCCAAGAAGCGCCCAGGAGGCACCAAGAGGCCCCAAGATGGCCCCAAGAGGCCCCCAGGAGGATCCCAAACGGCCCAAAGAGGCCCCCCCGAGGCACCCAAGACGCCGAAAAGCCCCTCAGGACGACCCTCTACTCGCTTGGGCGTCGTTTCTGGACGGGCTGGTGGGAATGCGCGAAGCGTCTAGAATTGCTTCTTGACGACCTGTATTTTGTCGAGGTCAGCCTGATCGACGCCCAGCCCCGTGGCGTCGAAGGCCGACCCAGGCACGAACTCGACCCCGCCGTCTGTTCGGAGCAACTTGGCGAAGTCAATGGCGGCCGCGCTGGCGGCCTCATGCTTTGGGCCTGCGGAGGCAGGGGCGGTCTCTCTCTCTCTCTCTCTCTCTCTCTCTCTCTCTCTCTCTCTATCCCTCTCTCTTTTTTTTGTTTTTTTTTTTTTTTTTTTTCTCTCTCTCTCTCTCTCTCTCTCTCTCTCTCTCTCTCTCTCTCTCTCTCTCTATATATATATATATGTATGTATGTGTGTATATATATATATATATATTATCTCTCTCTCTCTCTCGCTCTCTCTCTCTCTCTCTGCCTCTGTCCCTGTCTCTCTCTCTCTCTCTTGATGTATGTTTCTCTCTCTCTCTCTCTCTCTGTCTCTCTCTCTCTCTCTCTCTCTCTCTCTCTCTCTCTCTCCTTGGTGAGCACAGCAAGTTCGGCTGCAGTCGCCTCAGAAGCCTTGAGCTGCGCTGCTTCCCGAAAGAAAAAGAAATATATATATAGAGAAACAACACAACAATTACTCACTGCGTGGAGCCCCCATATGCGCATCTATTCGCGTGGACCTGTCCGCCGTGAGCGTCTAGGCGCAAGGGTTTTCGAATCTAAGCGGGTTTCAGTTGTGACGATCTGGACATGAATCTAACTGCGAATGGATTGGAGTGTGGATGGGCCTAAGTGGTACGAACGCGTCTCTGCGCATGAGCCTGAGGCCTCCTTGGCCTCCTGCAACCTACTGGGGTTCCCTGGGATATCCAAGAGACTCTTGGGGCCTCCTGGGACATCCTAGGGGGGGTTCGTGCTCCAGGAGATGCCCAATCTATAGCAACAGACGTACATAAAACATTGCTGATTAGAGCCGCAAGGGAAGGGTACTCTATAGGAACACGCGTAAAACACCAAGGGCTCGTGCCCCAGGGGAGGCCCAACACATATGAACATAAGTAGAACATGTAGGATTGTGTACACAGGAGAAGGGCAATCTGTAGAAACATACGTATGGCATCAAGGAATCGTGCTCCAGGCGAAGCCCAATCGATAGGAGCATACGTAAAACACATTGGGTTGGAGCCACTCATGTTGCCTTCTGAGGCCTCCTGCTCCTGGGGCCTCTCGGGGCCTCCTGTTGCCTTCCGAAGCCTCCTGGCGCTTCCTGTGGCCTCCTGGGGCCTCCTGTGGTTTCCTGAAGCCTTCTGGAGCTTCCTGGGGCCTGTTGGAGCCTCTTGGGACATCCTGTGGCCTCTTGAGTCTTTCTGTGGCCTCCTGATGCCGCCTGGGGCCTCATGTGGTCTCCTGGGGCCTCCTGGAGCCTGTTGGAGCCTCCAGTGGCACCCTGAAAAGAATCTGCGCCCACGAGCCTCCAAATCTGCTCCGAGAGCGAAGGATGCTGGGACAGAAAGCAGGCAAACCGCTTGAGACATCCCCACAAAACGGCCGCGAACGGGACCGTGTCATACCCCTCGGCGGCTCCCCTTAGGGACATGACAATGAGCGCCTCGCTCAAGACATCCTCCAAATCTGCTCCGAAAGCGAAGGATGTCGGGACAGAAAACAAGCAAACCGCTTGAGGCATCCCCACATCACGGCCGCGAGCGGGGCGCGCGTGAGTCTGAGCATGAGTAAGTCTGAGTATGAGTAGGTCTGAGTATGAGTAGGTCTGAGTATGAGTAATTTGGTGTGTGAGTAAGTCTGGGTATGAGGAGGAGAGGGGAGGAGAAGGAGAAGGAAGAGAAGTCGGCGGCGTCAAAGAAATAACAATAACCCCATCTTAGGATATGGGGGAAATAAGGTTATGGCGCTCTTTGTACCGGACCCTGGCCTTGCGTTCAGACTCCGCTGCCGCCTCCGAGGCCCTTTTTGCCCTCGTCTCCGCAGCTGCCGCACGCTGGTATGCCATGCTGGGGTCCTCGGGCTCCGGCGGCGGCGGCTCGGGTGGGGCATCTTTGAACTCGTCGAAGGTTTCCCTTCTGCACAGGCAAGGCAGCCACGAGCAGCTGAAGGAGCTCCTCGGGGCTCGCGGGCAGCTGGACGGCCGCGGGCGCTCACGTGACGCCAACGGAGGTGGCTTGTAGCTCGAGCCCTCCTGTGCACAACGGTGACGGCGCGACTTGGGCCAGCTGCCCATCACCGTCGAGTTCTGCTGCCGTGGTGCGGGTCTAAGCCCCACCAGGTGGTCGAGGCGAGGCCCAAGGGACGCAGGTGAGCTCGAGCGCCTTGCCACAGGCAAAGCAGTTCGTCCTGCCGTACCACGTCCACTTGTACTTGCAGGAGATGTATGTCGTGTACTTATTGGAGCCGCTTTGCTGCATGACGGACGGAAGAAAAAAACTGCCTGACGTGGGGCGGACCACAGCAAGTTCTGCCTGGGGCGTACCAAGTTTGGAAAGCTGCCGCCGACTAACGGTGCCCGTAAGATTCCCGCGGGAATCAAACATCTTGAGACACAGTGGCTACGGAGGAGGATGACGACGAGGAGGACGACGACGAGGATATAGGACGAGGAGCGGCAGCAGCAGGAGCAAGAGGAGCGGGAGGGTCAGGACGACCAAGGGAAGGTGGATGCGAGAAAAGGGAGGAGATAGCGACGAAGGAATCCGATCCAGAAATGCTGCCCCCGCTGGAACAAGAACGCCAATCACAACGGCGGGGGCGAAACTACGATCCTTGAACGAAGCCCATACAGCAGCAAAACAACAACAACAACAACAACAACAACAACAAAAACAAAAACAAAAACAACAACAACAACAACAACAACAACAACAACAACAACAACAACAACAACAACAACACCAACAACAACAACAACAACAACAACAACAACAACAACTACAACAACAACAACAACAACACCAACAACAACAACAACATCAACATCAACAACAACAACAACAACAGCCGCAACAACAACAACAACACCAACACCAACACCAACACCAACAATAACAACACCAACACCAACAACAACAACAAAGACGTTCTGACGAGTAAAACACGTATGCAAAACACACACAATTCCTGTTTGCCTGAATCTGATCTGCGGGATAGGCGGTGGCACGACGGCACAAGCTCTCTCTTTGGGCTAAGTTGGTCTTGCGAGATCTTCCTTCCCTCTTCCCGATACCCTCTTCCCTTCTGGCGATTTCAGCTCTGGCCCAAGCCCGGCCCTCCTCCTGCCGAACAGCAGCCCGTTCTCGGCGATCTCCTGGAAGGCCTCCGCCTCGCGCTCTTCCTGGCCAGCCTCGGAGGGCAGGGGAACCAACACCTCACCGCCACTGCGGCCCTGGGGAGCCAACAACTGGACGATATCCCTAAGATCTGGGCGTTGCTGCTTTATCACGCTGGGCGTTTTCGCCCCGTTTCGGGTTCCTGGCCATCACATATCGATGCCGCTCGAAACATGCCTCAGTAGGATAGGGTCTAAGGCCCTGGTCGCGGCTCTTAGCGATGTTCCAATTTGTTCGCAACTTCGGATCTCAACGATATTAGAACCGTTGCGCACTGGAGATTGATTATGATCACCACTACGCCCCCGAAATCAGCGCTGATGTCGATATGGGTGGTGATTTTGCTATTCTGGGGCCCGAACATCCTTGTACTCTCAAGCTCCCTCCATTGCCGCACCCTCGATGTTCATGTGGGGGGCCCGGGGGGCATCTTGCGCCGCAAGGTTCGACTTTGTTGTCCATGCGCAAACCCACTCACGGGCCCGCATCTTGGCGCACACCGGCAGATCAACCGGCTGGGTCAGGGAGGTCGAGTGACACCCTAGGGGCCCGGCCCCAAAGGTGGGCCTGAGCTGGCGCGGCGGCTGTGCACGTTTGACCCCCCCGCGGAGCGGCCTGCCCCATGCTCGCGGCCTCTCCGCCGCCGCCCTCGTCCTCGCGCGCGCGCGCGGGCACGCGGCTGGGGCAACGGTGGGCCGAAGCTGACCGGGAGCCGGGGGAAGGCGCGGCATCGGCAGCAGCAGCTACGGCAGCGGCAGCAGAAACGTCAGCAACGGCAGGAGCACAGGGAGCAGAGGCAGAAAACGGCGGCGACGGCTGCCGTCGATGGCGCCACCCGCGCCCAGGCCCCACCCCCGACCCCCACAGTGAGGCCCAGACTGACATCCACCATCGTCGTCGCCACCGCAAGCGCCACGACCGCCACCATCCAAATTGGAACCTGAAGCAGCCTTTGGGGCAGCTGCCACGGTTCCCAGAAAATCGGCCACCAAGCCAGCACGACTCTTGCCAGTGGGCGCCGATGCTGAAGAGCAAACCGCAATAACGTGTTGTTTTATAATGCATTGCAGCACACCGCTGAACCTCAGACACCTACTCATGTCGCAGGGGCCATGGACATGTGGACCGAAGATCGGGCCAATCTGCAAGCCCGACGCCGAAGACGAGGCGAGCCCGCAAGACCACTGTTTACTTGGGCATTGCAGGCGTAAACAGAGCGAGCCGTACAAACGTCGGGTGGGGGGGAAACAATCGCATCGTCCCTGGATGGGGACCGCGACGCGCGCATGTATCACCCCATGCCCAAACAGCCACTGACATCGCGCGCGAGTGATGCGATGGCTTGCCTTTCATCCTTCGAGGACACGTTGGGCTTCCTTCAAGCATGGGAAATCACCAGACGGTCGAAGGCGGGGTTTACTTGATGGTGCGCACACTGCATTGCCAAATTAAACGCGTTTTGCTGACTCGCAAGTTGTGCTTAGCCACCGGCAACTTTCAAATGAGAGAGCGCGTTCCACGGGCGCTTTCCTTGGGAACATTCGATGGCGCGTTTCGAACTGGGGGGTGGGCCCCCCCCAACACTCGGCGCCGTCGATCAAAACCAGGGGGAATCCCCTCCCCCCCACCCCCCCTCCCGAACCCCCCCACCCCCCCTTCCCGCTTCCCAAACGAGGGGGGGAAGGGTTCGAACCCCCAGAGCTGGCGCTGGCGGCCACCAGCAGCGCCGACAGCGGGAACGCAGCGACGATGACTAGAGGCAGCCCAAGGGGGGGCGGGGGGCGGTTTTATCACCCCCCTCCCACTTGGCGCCGGCGCCAGCGCCGGCGCTGGCGCCGGCCCGCAGCGCTGGCGCTGGCGCCGGCCACGGCGGGGACGCAGCGACGACTACCACCACTACCACCACCACCACCACCATTACCACCACCACCACTGACTCAACCCACCACCACCACCACCAACCACCACTCAACCACCACCACCACAACTCACCATCACCACCACCACCACCACAAAAACCCACCACCACTACCACCACCACCGCAATCTATCACACTGCCACCGGCACCGCCACAACCACCACCACTACCAGCAGCACAACCCACCACCACCACCACAAACCAACACACCACCACCGCCACCGCCACCACCACCACCACCACCACACAAACCACCACCACCACAACCCACCACCACCAACACCACCACAAACCACCGCCACAACCACCACCAAGCCACCACCACCACCACAACCCATCACCAACACCACCACCACCACAAATCACCACCACACCACCACCAAACTACCACCACCACAACCCACCATCACCACCACCACAACAAAAACCCACCACCACTACCACCACCACCACCACCACCACCTGTCTACCACACCAACACCACCACCACCGCCACAACCACCACCACTACAAACAGCACGACCCACCACCACCACCACAAACCACCACACCACCACTAACACCACCGCCACCACCACCACCACACAAACCCCTGCCACCACAACCCACCACCACCACAACAACCCACCACCACACCACCACCAAACCACCACCACCACAACAACAACCCACCACCAACATCACCACCACCAGAACCACCAACACACCACCACCAAACCACCACCGCCACCACCACCACAACCCACCACCACCACCACAAACCACCACCACACCACCACCAAACCACTACCACCACTACCACCACTACCACCACCACCACCACCACCACCACCACCACCACAACAAGCCACCACACCACCTCCACAACAAGCACCACCACCGCCACCACCACCACCACAACCCACCACCACCACCGTTTTCGTCCCCGCCGCCGCCGCCAGCCGCCGCCGACGCAGGCGCCAGCCCGAGGAGAGGGAGAGAGGAAAAGTAGGGGAGGAAAGGGGGTGGGGGTTTCACGGGAGGGAGGGGGGGGGGTCGACCCCCCCCCTCCATCCAAGGGGGCGGGGGGGGGGGGTGGTTCCAACCCCCCCCGTCCAAGCGACTACAGAACGCGCCCTGTCCTTCAAATCAAAGATTGCGCACAGACCACAGCCTTGGTCGTACCATTTCGGTCAGAGCACGCGGGAATTGGGCCTCGCCGCTGGCCCACCGCCCTTGGTGGGAAAAGTCGCGACGACGGTGGCATTTGAACAAAAAAACGTGAATGCCCGCTGCAGCGAGGGATGGACTTTAGCTGCAGTTCCGGCTTCTGGCACGACCGCATCTCAATAGTTTACGCTTGTGCGCGTATGATAGCAATATAAGAAAACACGGTGCGGGCATTCCGTGCCTGGCCTCCCGTGCTGAGTGCCATCCTCTAACCGTGTTGCCACCGTGGACCCCCAACATGTGATTTCTTGCGCCCTGGATGTGAGCTGCGTGGGCGCGACGCCGCTCCAAGTCCACTGCCAAGACGCCTCAGCAATGGTCGGCCAGCCGCAAAGGCCATTCATGCCCAAGACCTTCGTGCTGCGAGTGCCCTCCCCCCTTCCCCCCTGTTCCGCGGCCGCCCTCTGCCGTGTCTCTATGTGTTTTGTCCTTTTCTCTCTCTCTCTCTCTCTTCTGTCTTTCGCTGCGGGACAATTCGTATGCTTCGCCCCAGCAACCAGACTGCGCGAACGGATTACCTCTGCCGCGCCGCAGCGGAAAAAAGTGCAAGCTGCGTAGACAAGCTGGGTGATGCAAGCTATGCTTGGCGGCGCGCAGAGGGGGGTAGGGGGAGGGGGGAAGACTTCTTTGAAGGAACCTGCTTTTTAGAAGCCATTGGCCTTACGTTGACTGGCAAGGCCCGCGCCTTCTAAGAAGCAGGGGTGCTTGTAGGAAGCCCCCTCCCTCCCCCTACCCACATCTGGGCTTGACCGATACGTGGTGCAAGCTAAGTGGTGCAAACTATGCGGCGCAATCTGGGTGGTGTAAGCCATGCCGCACCCCGGCGGCGCGGCGCCCACGGGCGGCCACGGGCGGCCACATGGAGAACCCAAGTGGCGCACGAGGCGCCCACGAGGTGGCCGCGGGCGACCCGTGGCCCAAATCCCGAACCCGGACGACGGACGAACAACGCACACGCACCCGTGCCCATAGGGGCTTCGGCAGGAAGAATATTGGCTATGGGCATGGGTGCGGGTTGTCGGACCCGTCGGCGGGTTCCCGTTCGAGCGGGAACCGCCATCCGACAGCACGCATCCACAACCGCATGGGCGCGTGTTGTTAGATCGTCACCGGAAGCCCATGCCGCCGCACGAGGCGCCCGCGAGCAGACCCCTGGCAACCACCAGCCGAAAACCAGCAAGCCCGCGCCAGCGAACGAGGCGACCACACGAGGCGACCGCGCGGCACCCGCGGGCGGGCACCAGGCGACAACTCAGAAGCCCGCGCTGATGACTTGAGGAAGCAAGCGGGAGCCACTTAGTGCCAGCACTGTTGGGATAATCAATCAACGCGCCCAGTCCGCACCACCATCCTCTTGCCATTCCTGCTCCTTGCGTGCACTGTCCGATGTACTAACTGCTTCTCTCCCGCAGCTACAACTTTGGCTCCAGGGAAACGGAAAAAGAACGAGCCTGCGGCGGGCGCGCGCGTGCGTCGGCCGGCGGGCTGGCCTCCTCCCTTCACTGTTACCCAATTGCATGTTTGACGGCATTATCCCTTCTCCCCAATGTCATCGGCGGAGCCTACTGACCGTGAGATATTATCAGAACATCTTGCAAGGATAATGAATATCCAGGCAAAACGCTGGTTATCAGCCGAAACGACGGCACAGCCGTTAGCTTCGCAGAGCATGGGATCACAAGAGGAGCGCTCGGTCGAACAAAAGATCAATACCCTTCCGAGCGCAACGAAAGTGTAGATGCCTCTATGAGACGACCAAATTCTCTCAACCTTCCCAGTTTACAAGCATCTGAGACTGCGTCTGCCTGACAGAAGGGGGCTCCTCGGTTGACTCGGCGACAAGGTCCGGGGCACAATCCTCGGGCGAAGGTATGGCGCAGCCAAAAATTCCGCCGAGGGACCATCTGAGTTGGCGTCGGTACATCCGGGCCTTCAGCCATCGATCGATCTAGATCTTGAGATGGAGAAGTTGTTGGATCACGTCCCCGTAGGAATGTCGGGCGACGAGAGTCCTGGCGCAGAACGCGCAGCGCAGTTCGCGTTGCATGGACAGAGCGAGGATGTGAGTGACCTGCAATCGGAAGGGGACAGTTCTCATTCGATTGAAAAGAATGAGGAATATGCTCGATTCCACACCTCGCCTGGTCCATCGTATCATCTCGATCCTCTCCCCGATGGATGTGTCGGGCTCGCCTCAGGCGCAGCTCCGTTAACGAGCGCGTCAGTTGACCATGTAACGGTTGAGGCAATTCCGACGGCAATTCTTGATTCGGATGACGATCTCGAAGACGGAGGAAGCCCAGACCGAGGTGGATGCTCGTCGGCACAGCCGATGTCGAGCTCCCTCGATGTCATGCGCGCAATGAGGAATACACGAGAATCTACAGGCATGACTCCCCATCCAATGACAAAGAAGCCGAAGGGTGAGAACGATGGCTTAAACTCTTCACCTTATTGCAAGGATTCCACCGACCAGACTTCTCACTGCCGAGGACTAACAGGGACAGAGTACCCGAACTTGATGAG